AGGAGGGGGAGGAGAGGCGGCGAAAAGGAGTGGATGATGGTGATCATGATGGCGATGCTAATGATGCTGATGATGATGACGCATCCACAACAATCATGATAATGATGAGGACCATGATAATGATGTTGATGATAATGGTGAGGACATTGGTGATGATGATGATCATTATGATGATGGTGATGATGGTGATGATGGTGATGATGATGATTTAATTTTAAGATCATCCACATCAGTGTCCCCCGCTCCGCCGCCGCTTCGGCTGCAGTGGCGCCCTCGTGCGAATTGGCGCCGCCTTCCGACGTGCAGGCGGCTCCCGTGTGGGCCGCGGGTGCTGCTCCAGCGCACCCCTCGCTCACAGCGGCGCCCTCCGAGGCTGGGGCCGCAGTGGCGGCCCGCATGCCGAGCGATGGCGTCGGCGACTTCGAGGCCGAGTCCGGCGGCTGCGAGGCTTTCCCCGAGGCGGGCGACTCGGAGGCGGAGAGGCCCGAGCGTTGGCCCGACGCGGGCAGCGACGAAGACGCGATGACCACGCAGCCCCGCATGACGACAGTCACGCGGGACTGGGAGTACCAGAGCACAGAGCAACACCACGGTCTCACGGAGGCGCAAGAGCGTCGGCACCAGGAACGGGTTGACAGCTCAGGGGCGCGGGCATCACTAACAGCCACAGCAGTGCCGCAGTGGCGGCAAAAGAACTCGGCAACTGCTCCCTCGCTTTCTTCAACTTCGGGGCGGACGCTTCGGACCCTCAGAAGAGAGCCGACGAGTGGAACCAGATGAAGAAGTCCCCGACCAACATCGTGGCCGTCACCGAAGCCACCGACGCCCTCTACGACCACCTCGGGGCTGCAGCGGCGGCCGACGACACATCGGACCATGCCGTCCACGACAAACTGGCACATCGGGCAGGCATGCGTTGGTTGTGCATCTTTGGGGCCGAGCCGAGAGGTCCCCGCTCCTCGCCGTAGACGACGGGAGTGGCTCCGGGATGGAGCTCGCTTGGTGGGGGGGGGAGAAATTCCACGGAGTTCGCGACAGGCATCGGCGCTACAGCAGCGTCCTGATCTGCAAGGCGTGGCTTGACAGACCGGTCATTGGCCTCGGCGACGAGTCCAACCAACGTCCTGGTGATCCACGTGCGCAACTCGTTGGCACATTGGAAAAGCAGAGTAAACGCACCGAGTACTTCAAATGGTTCGCGGCCTTGCTCCAAACCTACGACGTCAAGGTTGCGGTGGGGGACTTCAACATGATGATGTTCGAGGCGCTGCGCGAATGCCGCATTCGCGGCGTCGCCATGGGCACGGCGGCCTGGTACACGTTCAAGCTGATCCTTGGTGGCGTGCCTGCAGCGGACAGCTGCGCGGCGTTCTTCGTGGACTTCCCTGGCACTTACTCCCAGCTGCGCCCCTGGAGCGCCCTGCGCGAGATGTACGGCGGCATCCCGGAGAAGGCTTTCCCCGAAGGGTACGACAGCGTTAGGGCAAAAGGCGACAAAAGCTTCCCTGGTGGAGAGGCCCCTGGCTGGCCCTCAGACAGTTACACGCCGAGGGGCGCGGGCTGCAGTGGCGGCCAGGAACAGAACCGCGTCAAGATTCAAGAATTTATCCAGCCATCGGGCGCACGCCTCGCCGAACTGAACCGTGGAGGCATCGTGCAGACGGAGCGGCGCACCAGGACACAGCAAGGCACTTGCCTAATTACCGTGCGGCAGAAGGCAATGGGCGTTGAGGTGTGGAAAGGCGCCGCTGGGGCCAACAGGCCAGGGTCGCACATGCCTTTTCGTTTCTGCGTGGAGGGGGCGGATGTGCGAACCCGCGCCGCACGGGGCGCGAGGTCGGCCAGCTACTAGGAGAAGCGCAGGTGGAGGGCCAACTCACGGGGGGCGCAGAGCGGCAGCGGCGGCTTCAGGGACCCAGCCGAAACGGACAGCGAGGAAGCTCCCGCGGCAGCAGCTCCCGCAGCAGAAGCTCCACAAGCAACACCTCCACAAGCAGCAGCTCCCGCGGCAGCAGCTCCCGCGGCAGCCGCTCCCGCAGTAACAGCCCCAGCAGCAGCCCCCAGGGGCAGCAACGCTACCGCCGCCGCCATTGCGCAGAGAAGCCCCCGCACCAGGGCCACGTCTGGGCGCCGCGCCGTTGGCCCCCCACGGAGCAGCTCCCGCGCGCGCAGTTTCAAACGAGGCACCGGCAACAACCCCAGGAGCAGCACCACCAGAGAGGCAGCTCTCCAAAGAGCAGCCCCCGCAGCACCAGCTCCAGAAGCAGCCCGAACAGGAGCAGCAGCAGCGCCGCCGCGGGATCCACCTCTAGCTGCAGCCCAGCGCGCAACCAGCAGCGCCCTCAGGTCAGTTCCACCACGGTTTCGCTCCAGGCGGAGGTCGCCCCCCAGCGCGGGCCTCCGCGGCGGACTTCCAGACGCATCTGCTGGCGTTATCGAATGCCGCTGCCCGAGGTGCGAAAGCGCGGACCTTGGCCGCAGTGGCGGCCTCGCCGGCGAATGCCGATGGGTCATTGAGGGTGCGCGCCGACCTTGAGGCGACGCCCCCGCCCTGGCAGGGGGGGCAGCGGCCGCCGCCAGGCAACTCCTGGCAGCCCGCAGCCCGGCAGCTCTGGTGCGACTGGCCGCCTGCGGGGGGCCCTCCACTGCCGCAGATGGCCCGGGGGCAGGGGGCGCAGCCCACGAGGGGAATGCTCGGACCTGTCGGCTGCGCGGCGCGAGCGCCGACGCAGGCCGCAGTGGCGGCCCCCAACCAGATGCCCGACATCGCTGCGATCTTTGCGCGCGTGGAATGCCGCATGGAAAGCCTGGAACCCCGCATGGGAAGAATGGAGGAGAAGCACGAACAGCGCGCGCAGGAGGTCAAGGAAGAAGCCGCGGCGGAAACCAACGCCCTGAGGGCGGAAGCAAAGGGCCTGAGGGAGGCACTCGCGCGTTCGCGGGAGGCAAATTGGCGCGCGGGCGACTGGGCCAGCGGCTGGGTCTGGCGCGGCGGCCGCGACCAGTGAAGGACGGCTGGGGAGGCTGCAGTGGCGGCGTACTTCCTGGTTGGCGCGGTGCTGCAGTGACGCGCCTCATTACTTACTGCGTCCGCGTGCGCGGTGAGGAAAACGGCCCTCCTCTGTTGTCCCTCGATCCTCCTCCTCCTCCTCCTCCTCCTCCGCCTCTCCCTCCCTCCCTCCCTCCTCCCTCCCCCTCCTCTCCCTCCTTCCGCCTCTCCACCTCGTCCTCCATCCCTCTCATCCCGCTTTGATTCGTATGTGCGTTTTATGTATTCGTTTGTTTCTTTATGTTGTGTTCCTCTCTCTCTCTCTCTTGCTCTCTTCCCCATTTCCTTAATTCTCTCTCCCTCTCTCTCTCTCTCTCTCTCTTTCTCTCGTTATCTCTTTGTCTCTCTTTTTTTTGTTGTTGTGTGTGTGTGTGTGTTTATATATATATATATATATATATATATATATATCTTTTCTCTCTCCCTCTCTCTCTCTCCCTCTCTCTCCATCCCTCTCTCTTTCTCTCTTTTTTTTTTTTTTTTTTTTTTTTTTTTTTTTTTTTTTTTTTTTTTTTGTTTTTTTTTTTTTTTTTTTTTTTGTCATTTTCTCTCTCTCTCTCTCTCTCTTTCTCCCTTTCCGTTGTTGTTTTCTCTCTCTCTTTCTCTCTCTCTCCCTCTCTCTCTCTCTCTCTCTCCCTCTCTCTCTCTCTCTCTTTCTCCGTTTCGCCGTCTTTCTCGCGAAAACTTTGATGCTGCGACCCCCCTTAGAGGGGTTTGCAGAACACCCGCAACACCTTTGAGATGTGTTGCAGGATTTTCTGCAACGCCTCTTAATGGAGTGGCAGGGGAAAATGAAAATTCAAATTTCATTATTTTTATTCGGGCTTTTGGGTTATCACAAATTGCTGACGATGCGCCGTCGCCTGGCGCCTGGCTTACGGACTTTTCACACTCATGAGTCACGGGGATCCAAAGTGAATCCTGGGCTACGGCCCAACCGCCGTGCTCTCGTAGGGCCGTCCGTCGGGACGTATGTCGGCGCCTCGCCTCGCCTCGCCTCGCCAACTGTTGCTACTCAGGCTCGTTATTAACTGTTGCTGCCTTCTCCTCGCTGGTCTTGGCCTGGGGGGCCGCGCCGCGCGTGCAACTACAAGTGGCTTCAGTTGCTCCCGTGCGGGGGTGGAGAGAAGGGGAAGGGGCGAAGAGGAGAGGAGGAAAACGACGAGGATACGGAGAGCATGATTCAGGAGGGGGAACGCACTCAGACAACATTACTCGTCGACTCCCAGGAATATACCGGACAATATCAGAAGTGGGGGGGGGACGACGAGCGCCCATAACATATGTGAACACATGTGGGGAATCTTGGGATTTGTGTCTATGTATTTTTGTGTCCCAGGGCCCTTTTACTAATACGTGAGGACGGGGAGGGGATACCGATGAGCAGTATAAGAGGTCGAGGAGGACGGGATGGGGAAGATCAGGACGAGGAGGAATGTTCGACAGGATGGGGGTGATGGAGGCGGAGCGCGATCAGGTTGAATAGGAAGAAGCATAATTGCGGATTGGTTCAGCTGGTGACGCCACACCGTGCAGCTTCTTGCCCGTAGCAGGCAGCCTGAGCTGCCGACTTGGGTCGGCCAGAAGGGAAAAGGTGGCACACGACTAGGAGTCTTTCCCAGCGCCCAGAGTCCAGCGGCACGCCGCCTGTGAGGTGTTTCTTCTTCAGAACGCATGGCCACAGGGAGGGGGATGAGGACGGTGTCGTCTCTTTCGAAGACGGACCCCCAGGAAAACCCCTTTTATGGGCAGTTGTTTCTCCATCCTGGACCGTTTTCCGACGGCCTCGGCTCCGCCAGTTGCCTTTGAAGGCCGAAATTGAAGAACAACCGCTGGGACGGAGAAAACCAACAAGTCGGACATGATCTGATCCGAGACCCAGATTAATGCAGATCCCTGGGTTTCCAGGATGCAGCAGATTTGAACATGGGTGGGCCCTAGAAAGTCAACTATGTTTACGTCCGCCTTCGCCCCGAGGTCCCGGAAGACGGGCTCCTGGGGCAAGCTGACGCGTACAGCTCTCAGCCTCGCACCCGATTTTTTCGCTTCGTCTCGCCCGCCCAAGGAGAAGCTCCCCGCGTGGAAGCAGAAGTCCCTAGCATTCCGCCAGGCCAGGCGCGCGACTTCGCCCCCCCTCTCAGCAAGGGCAGCGCCCTGATGAAGGCGAAGAGACCGAGGATGACGACGACGACGACGACGACGAAGGAAACGAATCAGGGCGTCGTCCGGAATAACTGCTTGCGGGTTTGCGCCTTCTGGGTGGGTATTGTGATGTTCCAACCTACATCGTCCTTGACCACCTGGAAGAATATCGAGCACCAAGGGAATACCGAAACTGGAGGGTTTTCCAGGGACGGGCCCTTGGGGCCGATACTCGTTCGACACCTTGCCAGCGTGTCGGTCATACCGTGCCCGTCTCGATACCTCTCTGCGTGCTCGAAATCCTTGGTGGGAAGTGGCCGTGGAGCACGACGGGAACAACCTGAAGGTGGGTACCAGGATCTCCCGGATGGCGCGTCTTCCCCCAGATTTGTAGGTTCAGCTTCTGCCGAATACTGTTGTTCTTCGGGGCGATAATGGGTACGGAAATAATGGGTACGATGCCCAACAGCAGTTCCTGCTCATTTTGACAGGACTCGCTGTCGGCGTCGCCGCAGACGTTGTTGATTTTGGGCAGCGTTTGTTGTTGGGCATTGTACCCATTTTGTCCGTACCCACTTTGGGCGTCCAAATCTGTAGTCAGCGCTCTCCTGGCGCAGGGAGCCCCCTTTCGATGGCATCGGCCACGGGTTGTGCTGTCGGGCCGCGCAGCGGGAGGGTGCCGATTCCAAGGCCCAGTTCGTGCGCGGCTGCCCAGCGGGGACGACCACCGCAAACCATCACGGCGGCGACGACGGCGCCGACGGCACCGAGGGTTGACCAGCGGCGCGCATGGGGGGGAAGTGAGAAGGAGAAGGTCTACGGCGGCTGGACTTCTCAGAAGCCCTCGCGCCTCCTGAGAGGTTTTATTGTCTCCAGGGAAAGCTTTGAAAACTTCTCTGAAGGCCGGGGGGCTTCCGAGCCTTCTGAGAAGGCGGCCTTCTCCTTCTCAATTTCCCCTTCTCGCTCGCCGCCAAGTGGAGCGTCAGAGGTTCTGGCTTCGCGCTCTGGTCCTCCTCGATTCCTAGAGAGCGCCCTCGTCGCCGCGGCTGTAATTCTTCGTCTTGGGAGTCGTCAGAGTGCATCTCAGGGAGGGTCTGGGATTCTTCGTCGTCGTGCCGTCGTCATTGTCGTCCTCCTCATCCACATCCTATCGGTCCCCTTGAATGGTTCTCGAACGCCGGATCCGTTTTTTTGTTTTCCGTGAGGGCCCTAGGGGTGCGTTTATAGAGGCTGTGGAATTTCATCGGATCAGTGGTGCTGCTCTTGCTCTGCTCTGCTCGTCTACATCCTGCTTCCTACATGCTGCCGCTAGTACCCCCCCGCCCTTTACCATCCTTTGCGTTCGTCGTCATCCCGTTTATCGGCGCACTTCCTTGCCCCTTTTCTCGCCCTCCTCGCCGTCTCGTCGTCCCTTGCTCTCCTGATCCCCTGCCCCTTATGATTCGCATTTCCTCATCGCCATCTTTTCTCTGTCTACCTGAACAAGGACGCCCTCGAGTGCGCGAAGTTATTCGCGCGTCGCGGTACGGCTCTTATTCCTCGGGGGGCGGCGCGAGAGCGGGAAGTTATTCGCGCTTCGCGCAGCGCGAATCGCGAGCCTAGGAGTTCGGGTGCGAAGAGTAGTCTGCATTGGGGTGGGTCGTAATCCAGACCTCGTTTCGTCCGCGCGGTAGAGAGGAGAAAGAGGAGGATGAGGAGGAGGCTTCCTGGGACCTTCGTGGGGCTTTGTGGGGGTCTTCTGGGAGCTTCCTGGTAGTTGTTTGAGGGCCTCGTCTCCTCCTCATGGAGCTCCTTGGGGGCCTCTCGGGGCCTTTGTGGCCGCCTTAGGGGCTCCAGGCCCGTCTGACGCCTATGGAGGCCGCCCTTGGGGCCTTCCTGGGCAGCGTTAGTGCCCTCTTGGATCGGTTCACGGCCGTGTTGGTGCTCTCTTGTGGGCCCCTTGGGCGAGCTTTGGGTCCTCTTGGGCCGACGTGGGGCCCTCTTGGGGGTCTCTTGGGCTGGCGAGGAGCTATCTTGGAGGCCTCTTGTGGAGGCTGGGGCCGTCTTGGGCGGTCGGAAGCATGAACAGGCGAGGCAACTCGACATCGTTCAACCATCCGGGGAAACCCATGGCTTGGGCCTCGGGCCCTCCAGGGTGGCCTATCGGAGACCTCTTGGGCCGTCTTGGGAGCTTCCTGATCTGTCTTGAGGCTCTCTTGAGAGGCTCTTGAACCGCCTTGGGCCGTCTTGGGCCATCTCGGCGTAAGTCGTCCAGGAGGCCATGAGGATCCCAAGAAGGCCTCAAGACAGGTCGAGAGGCCCTCCAGGCGGCCCAAGAGGTCTCCAAGATGCCCTCCAGGAGAGCCTGAGGAGGCCAGATCGCCTTCAGATGTTTGAAGGACGTTGAGGTTCTGGCTTGCTTGGGTTTATGACCGCCCAAGACAGCCCACGAAGCCTCTCTGGGCCGTCTTGTTGCTCTCTTGGAGCGCTTCAAGACCGTCTTGGGGCCCTCTTTGGAAGCCCCTTGGGTGATCTTTGGGTCCTCTTGGGCCGACTTGGGGCCCTCTTGGGGGCCTCTTGGTCTGTCTTGGAGCTATCTTGGAAGCCTCCTGGAAGCTTTTGGGCCGTCTTGGCGTGGTCGGACACCCGAACAGGCGAGAACCTCCAGATCCTTCAACCCGAGGAACTTCGAGGGTTTTGCAGGCCTCTTGGAGCTCTCTCAGGCCGTCTTGGGGGCCTCTTGGGCTGTCTTGAGGCCCTCTTGGGTGCATGATTCAGGTTTGGGTGCACATGGCTCTTCGTGCCATTTTTGTCAGTGATGCCTCCCCTGAGGGGCAGAAGAGGGTTGGGAGAGGAAACGTGCTAACCACTCGCGCCCTGAAGGGCGAGTGGGATTGGGGTCGCGCAGGCACTATGATCTGCAGGCGGCCGGTGTGATGATCTTGCATGGGCCTTCACAGCGGGAGGTCTATGGGGAGGATGCGGTCGTGGTGAACTGTTGGGGCGCCTTTGTGGGCGTTTTACGATTCTCCTCCAGCCCACCCTCCAACGATGCCCAGACGAGTTGCACCGGTTAGGGAAGTGCAGGAGCACGCAGCGGAGCAGAGGTAGGCCTTGCTCTGCACACTGGGCTCGACCAAAAGGCCCAGAACGCCTGGCCCCTGCCCCTCTGTCGCCGTCGCGTCGCCTTTGCCTCCGTCCTCGCCGCCGTCGCCGTCGTCGTTCTCGTAGCCAGCCCCCCGGTGTCCGTCGGCGCCTTTCCTGACCGTCGGCGCCGCCGCCGTCGCCGTCGCCATTGCCAGACGTCGCAGTCGTTCATGTCCGTTCCCCGTCCTTCCTGGTCGCTCCTCGTCGTTCCTCGCCGTTCCTCGCCAGCGCTCGTGCCGTCATCGTCCGCGCGCGGCGCGCGCGCGCGCTGTCGCGCGCGAGGCCGTCCTGGCCGGCAAGGCCGCGGGCGGCGACGCTGCGGCGGCCAAGGAGGCGCCCCCGGCCGCTGACAGGTTTGCTCGGCGGTCGTTCTCGTCGTCGTCGTCGACGCTGTCGTGTTCGCGTCCTTCTAGTCGTCGTCGTCGTCGTCGTCGTCGTCGTCGTCGTCGTCGTCATCGCGGTGGTGGTGGTGGTGGTCGTCGTCGTTGTCGTCGTCGTCGTCGTTGTCGTCCTTCCTGCCCCGAAGAGCACAAGGCGGCACAAACGTAAGCTCGCGGAGCCCCGCGCGGATCTGTTGGATCTGCGCTGGAGCCCCCCGCCTCTCGCCTCCGGCGCCGCCCCTGGCGCGCTCCACGCACCATGGAGGGGGTTCAGCTCCGATCCAAGAGATCCGTGCGGAGTCCGAAAACCTTTGTTTATGAAGTTTTGGTTTCGTTTAGGTTCGTCGCCAGAAGGAGGGGGGGAGGAATCGGAGCACAGTCTGAGGAGGAGCATGATCTTACTTACGTTGGCAGGGTCCAGGAGTTGTCCACAAGCTTGAAGCATGTCTGTGTCGACCCCCGAATGACAACCGGGCCACCAAGCATCGGGTGACCAGAGTGAAGCGGGTGCGCACCGTCGACTTGTTCGACGACGAGCTTCGGTGGCGTGTCGCGCAGATTTGGTCGAAGAACACAAGCGGTCGGCTTCAAGCTTTGAGAATTGTGAGTGCTCGCCGCTCTTCGTTACAGTGCTACCCCAGGTGCAATGCGACCCACCGTACCCCTGCCGGTGGTCAATCCATGTGTAGTATTCGCTTCCTTGCTCCAGTGCCTTGCCAGCGGAGGCGTGCAGGCGTGGAGGGCGAGAGTAAAGTTACAGGGCCGTGTAGGCGAGGAATTCTGGCTTAGCACAGAAAAGACAAAATTGTACTCTTGTTGCCATCCTCTCGGTAGCGTCACTCGAGCATTTACGTCACCATCGACATCGTCCCATCTTTAATCACCCTCGTCATCGCCATCGTTTTTGTCTTCGCCATCGTTTCCATCGTCTTATCCATGTCGCGTCCTTCAGGATGGATCGGTCTGCCGGAGTTGGGTCCACGTGCCCGCGCGCCTCTTGACAGCATGGCAGTTTTAGTGTTTTACATAATTTGCGGGCGTGAGGGCGGGATTCTTTTGCGTGGGCATCGGAGTTGTAGACTTCCAGGCGTACTATATCAATTGTGCCACGAACTATGTTGCGCCATGAACCTTTGTCGGTTGCAAAGCATTGCAGATTGCACTACGCATCTTGCACATCGATCGCGCAACAACCCACTGCTCTGGCACCGCAATGGCATATACCATATTCCCCACCCGACAGGTTCGGGTTGTTAGATGGGCATATAATAACTCCCGCATGCCCATCTTGCATACCGTGGTCGCCAGACCTCACAGGATCCTCAGTGTCCCCGAATTCCCCGCCTCGCGTCCTCAACGAATGACGACACCATGCCGCGGTCGCCAGACCCCACAAGACCCCTAGTGCCCCTGAGTATCTCGCCTCGCGTCCTCGACAAATGATGACACCATGCCGCGGTCGCCAGACCCCTCAGGATTCCGAGCGTCCCTGGGCGTCACGCCTTGCGTTCTCGACGAATGACATACCCTGCGTACCAAGCAGCCCCGAGGGGGAGGCGTCAAGGCGCCACGCTGTCCAGGCGTCACGACGCATGAGCAAATTAGGCATGCAGAATCGACAGCAGGCCCGCACAACGCAGCACGGATCGTGTGTGCTGATATGCACGCATCGCTATGTTAGGCCAAGCGGCATCATGGCAGAGCTGGGCAGGTCGTGCTGTACCGTATCAGTACGCACCTTGCCGAACGACCCACCCTGGCAACACGGTTGCCGCCGCAAACATTGTATAAACCATTGCATCATACGTCGTCACACAATGCAGCATGCTATAGCAGAGCGCCGTATAGCGCGCCATGATCGGCGGGATCGTAGCGGCGCAAACGGATTACACAATTTTTGCTGCTACGACAACGGATATGTTCCATTACAAACAAGGGCATTCCGTAGTTTACCACGGGCACATGGACATAACAGACGTCTCATGATCTAGTGAACAACGTATGACATAACACACCGTGGCTCATCATGCTGTCCCATGTTTCATGACAACATGGCATGGCTGAGCCCAGCGTGACATAACCCTGTATACTGGCCATATCATCCCGTATCACACATGGCATTGTGATGTAACGTGGCAGCGCAGTTAATACCAGCCATGAGTTTCACACTACATACCGCGCTTGTTCGATTACTGTTGACAGTGGCTACACTAGATCATCAGGCGGTACACTATCAGTACATAGGAGCACAACACCATAACATAGCATAGCCAAGCATACTGCAGCAGCTAAGAATCGCACATCCTACCGCACGACTGAACACATATCAGTACACGCATTACGTCGTACTATTCGAACGTATCAGTAAGCTACACGACAGCACCATACCATAGCAAATAATATCAGCAACAACCTGCACACCATCAGCACAGTGCACATGGAGTGTACAACTACATCCTGACAATGCGAAGAAGTGTGCGAAACGTGGCACACCTCAAAAGCTGACATCAGGTAACATGTCCAAATTTTCATGCAATGCCAGAGTGCATCAGAAGATTATGCTTCTAATGTGCCAGGAGAGGGTACATCCGAACACAGAGCGAACATACGATAATATCAACAACCAATACACTGTTCTACATTGTAGCCTGATATTGCTCAGTAGAATACCATGGAGGAGGTTGGCACGTAACACAACACATCACAACATTGTGTAATATATCACAGTAGAACAGATCATACCCCAATTTGACGTGTTATATCATACTCAAATACTCCCGACGTGAACATTTCTGGATATATCAGAAACAGAAGCGAGTGATGAACAGCGTCTTGCCACACGCGACGTGCGCACAGAGGTCAGGCTGGCCACAGGAACAGAGAGGCGCAGCAACGACCGAATGGATGACGCATCGAACGTTACATAGTGACTGTGTAACGTTATCCCGCCGAGAACAAATCCGAATCTAATAGAGGATCATCGAATCGAGCATCAGTGAATCGAACATTGTCTAAACGTGCCAGATACAGCAGCCACCGACTAATGGCGCCCAATCGAACGCAACGTGCGAGCCGTCGTAAGGTTGGCCACAATACGGAACCAAGCATGAATCTATCGAATCAGAACCCAATTCAGTGTGATATGTAGTTATGCAGTAGAAACGACAAACGCCGATGGTTTCGTAGAGGATCGCTCAAAGCAAACTAATTCGTTGATCCTCCTCCATGTTGTTCATCCTCTTCCACATTATCTCCCCTGCCTCTCCCCCTCTCCCCTGCCTTCTTTCCCCTCCGTTCCCCTCCTCCGTGGCCCACCATGTCTGCATTGCTGGAGCGTCTGGCGCGCAAGCGCATCCACTCACGATTCCATCGCTTTTTCTTTGAGGTGCGCCTGCCCTTTGTGGGCCCCGGAAGCGGCAGGGCTGTTTGTTCATTATGTTCCGTGAATATGGAGGCGGTAAAACAGCGGCGACCCGCAACGGCAAAACAACGGCTCCAGTATTGGAACTGGCGCAGGAACCGGCGAAAGAACGGCGACGGAACCGGGAACAAAAACGGCGTCGGCAGTTGCAAGTAAAGACGGCACAACGGAGCCGAAAGAGAGCGGCCCTGCCGTTGCCGGGGCCCGCGAAGCGCCTGCTTTTTCGTCGTCTCCGTCGTCTGTGCCGTCGGTCCCCAGGGGTCCCAGGAGGCCCTTGAGGACCCCTGGAGCGGAGGCCCAAGGCCCAAGATGGCCCGGAGCCCTCGGTCCTGGTCGATCCTCGCACCCCCCATGGCCTTTGTCTTAGGTTGGGCAGGTCCTCCTACAGGCGGACTTTGGAGGAACAGTAGAACAGAGTTGGCACATCTTGGGAAGTAGTCCAGAAATTATCGGAACATGGTCCCCAGACTATTTTTGACCACCCCTGAATCTTCCTCCTGCAGAGGCACATGCCCGACTTAACCTTTGTTTTTCCTGTGCGCCGCCGTCGCCGTCAAGTCAAGCGCTCCCGCCGCGGCGCAGGCCGCCAAGATCTCGGAGGAACTGGCCGCTGCCGGTGGCGCCGACGCCGGCATGACGAAGTGCCCCCACTGCGGCCGCACTTTCAACAAGGACGCCCCCCCCCCAGAAGACCAGAGCGGCACAGGTAAAGACTACAAGCTGTCGTCGAGCCTCGCGGGTTTCCCGGGTCGGCGCTGGACCCTGTCCACGCATTCCCGGCGGCGTCATGGGCGGCGCCCCTGGCGCGCCCCGTGCGCAGGGGAAGTCAGCATCGTCTGACCTGGCACCATCCCTTACGTTGCATCTTCTGGGGACCTCGCCTGCCCCCAAAGCTGGCGTTTTGTTCCCTGTGCCGGACGCGGGCTCGATGCGGACTCGACGCGGATTTGGCCTGGATTCGACACGGACCCGACGAGGCCGACACGGATTCGACGCGGACTGGGCCGCGACAGGACAGACAAGGCCCCCAAAGGATGCAACATGACATCCCCGTTGGGCCATGGTGATTGGTATCTCAGGCCCACCAGTTCACCCTCGTAAGTGGGGACAGGCCCCGCGAAGCCCGAAGGAGCAGACATCTGCAGCTGGCACGAGGGCCAACAGCAGCCTTGGTTTCGGGCGGGGTGCCATTACCCGTCGGTCTTTGAAGGCAGGTGCTCTTGCATGCCCACATCCCCAACCGATTTTTCAGACGCCTTCCTACTTCAACCATCGAGTGCTCTTTTCCTTTCCTTCCCTCTTCAGGGGGCGGGCGGACGCCCAATCTGCTTCCAGCGCCTTCCTATGTCATATTCCCATCCACTCCTCCCGACCGACGTGGGGGCATCTCGTCGTTTTGCGCAAGTGTGTGTGGATGTTGCCGGCTCCCGCGGTCGCCTTGTTGCTGAGTGGTTCCGTGCTGGAGGGCGGTGCAGCTCGCGATGGGGCGCTGGCAGCAGCGGCTTGGGGCAGTTGCTCAGCGAGCGAAGAACTTTTTTCGCTGTCGGGGGCGCCTGTCCCTGGGCGGCTGGAAAGTTTATACCCCTACGGTGCCACCGTAAGGGTATAAACTTTCCGTCCGCCCTGGGACAGGCGCTCCCGACAGCGAAAAAGTTTATGTTATACCGTTCTTCGCCCGTTAAGTTGCTGAAGGCAACCTGCCGTCGCCCCCTCTCCTTTTCCCCTGCTCGCGCGCCGTCTTTCGCAAGGCACTCGCTCGCTCGCTCGCCGCCGGGCCCCATCTTAGGGTTCAGTCGGGCGTGTCCCTCGACAGGAGGAATATTTGAAACTAGTAGAAGAACAGTCTAGGGACGATTTGTTTCAGCATTTTGGGGTGAATTTGAAAGTTTTTAGAAATTTTAATGTTTCCTCCGAGATCCGCCTGTAGGGGGACATGCCCGACCTAGTCTTAGGGTGTGCTTCGTTCGTGGCATCTCCATGGGACCCCTGGCCTCTGGCGAATGGGCCCGCGGTCTTGCTCTGCGTGCTTGTGGCCCTGTCTCTGCGGTCAGCTCGCCGAGTGTTAGGTCGGGCCTGTCCCCCTACAGGAAGAGTATTCAAAAATAGTAAAAAAAGTCAGCAGGGGACGATTCTTTGATTATATATAGCTTAGAAAGAATGTTTCACCTTTCGCCCCAAATCCCCCTCGGAGGGGGACGAGCCCGACCTAAACATAGTAAGGATGAGCGACGTTTCAAGGTCACCCTTGCGTCGGCATCACCCCAGCATACGAATACTTCGTGCGCGTCGCCCTCCTCAGTGCCGATGCGCGCATCGAGCAATCTTACGGGCGCTTTCTGGCCACCCGCTCGAGAAACGATGCATTGTACGATGGGTGTACTATATGTTCGGGTCGGACCCGCGCCTCCAAGGAGGACATATAATTCTAGTGCGTCTCTTTGCGTCCCATTGCATCCTTGCCCCTCTGGCCCGTGCTTGGCGACTTCCGCCGGCGAATCTCGTTCGAAACCGCCAACGTGGCCTTCCCAGGCCCTTGCATCCTTGCCGCGCATCCTTATCGTACGGGTTGGCTTTACTGTGTCCCCTCCCAGTTGGGCAAGCCGGCCAGGCCAGGGCCACGCCAGTGGGGATAGGGATCGTTGAGAAAGTGTTCTTTACCCTCTGGGCCATAACGCGCGTTATGCCCACTCCCCTCCCCCCCCTTCCCCCCGCATAACGTAACGCTCCCCCCCTTCAGTGCGTCCCGGCACTGCTGCAGTGCGTCCCGCACCACAGTCTGGGTCGGGAGGGGCGCTACTTGATGCCCTTTCCCGTCCCCCCTTCCCCCCTAGCGCCCGTTAAGTTATGGCCGCGAATAAACTAATAAGTGCGCTACTAAACGATGCTCAGAAGGGATACGGGGGGTCGGGCGCTTGCCCCAAGCAGTCCGCGATTCGCAGCTGCGGCGCCGTGGTGGGCGCTGAAGGCTGCAACTGCTCTCCTGGGCGGTCGCTCAGGCCCCGGGGTGCCAGCAGAGAATTTCCTGCGGCGCGACAACTCGTTGACATGGGGTCGAGAGCCTTTGTCTGGAGGACGGGCATGGGTTCGGAAAGCATGATGACCAAGACCGACAGCAGCGCCTGTCCACTTTCAACAGGAGTAACTGCCCGCATCGCCGCGGACGTCGTGCACTTGAGACACAATGTCGCCCGTCCCGCTTCCAGGGCCTCATGGTTGGCGTCGTCGAGGCAGCACGTTGCCGTGACCCGTTTCGGGATCCGTGTCTCTTTCAGGAGGAAAAGAAACACACAGATACAATGAATCGTCGATTCCCCAGAAAATATGGGAAAATATGTGAAGTGGGGGGGGGAGACATAAACCCAGAAAATATGGGAACATATGGGGATAGTTTTATGTGTGTGTATTTATTTGTGTGTCCTGGGGCCCCTTCACTCTTGGGTTGTCTGGTGTGTTTTCGGATCCATGTCGATCTGGATTTGCAAATTTCGGCGGCGCGCACGAAGTGGTGGCGCCGGGATGGCCTGCTAAGAGGGCGGCGCGCTCTTTTGAGGCATTTGCTTTCGTAGGAGGCCGATGAGGCGTCAAATGGTGCGTATTGGAATCCGGGAGGCCGAAAGTTCCTTCCTGCTTAGATATACTCCCGCCTTCTCTTGGAAGGCGGCCCCCCTGGCGCTACCCCCTTGTGCACGCTGCCAACACTTGCTTGATGGGCCCTCGGGGCTGTCTGCTCCAGTCACATGATCGCCCCTCCAGCAGCCCTGAGGTTATGCATTCGAGCTGCACGCAGCCAACCAACCTTGTTATCCCCATCCAATGTCGTCGTCTGCTCCTGCCTCTTCCTCCGCCTCCTCTTCCTCCTCCTCTTCCTCCTCCTCCTCCTCCTCCTCCTCCCACTCTCTCGTCCTCCCGCGGCCTGGTGGGCAGCGTGTCCCCGCGAGGGACGTGGCTTGTGCGCCTGCCTGTCAGCGTGACGGCGGCGAGAGCATGGATCTCGGCATCCCTGCAGGATGTCTGGATCGCCACGGAGGCGGGTGGCCACCACCAGGCTACGGCCCCTTGGCCGGGTGCCGCTGGCTTCGTAGCCTACCAGGTGGGCATGCCGTACACCGCCGCCGATCGTATGCTATGTTCGGCGGCGAGCGAGGGGGGGAAGCGAGAAGGGAGAAGGCTTTCTCAAGGCGGCGGGACTTCCCAGACCTCCCCGCGCCTTCTGAGGAGTGTTTTTTGCTGTCTCCGGGGGAGACCCAGGACACTTCTCGGAAGGCCAGGGGGACTTCCGAACCCTCCGAGGAGGCCTCCTCCTCCTTGCCTGCCCCCCCCGCTCGCCGCCCGTCCGTGCGGGCAGCGGGGCCGCCCGCGTGGCGCGAGGGCGAGCACGAAGCAGAGCGCGATGCGGGCGCCGAGCTCCGCTGCGCAGCCTCTGCGGGCGCGGCAGGCCGGGCGGGGGGGGCGGGGTGCGCGGAGCCGCTCCGCGACGGCGCCTCCCCCCTGGGGTGGGCTCCCCCCGCCAGCCCGAGGTCGGGCATGCCCCCCCATACAGGAGGAGTATTCCCAGACGGTCTATGACGATAGCGGTGGGGGGGGCGACCTGTGGGACCAGTTTTCTGCTTCCCTTCTGGACTGCCTTTCCCCACTTTTTTCTCGCTCGTTGGGATTCTCCTCCCGGAGCCCGCCGCTTCCGCCAGAACTTTTTTTGCTTGTCTCGCTGCTGATTTGCATGATTGCGTGTCGCTCATCGATTCTAGGTTTCTGGAGGCCACGGCCTACCCACCAGGTCCTATAGGTCTGTCCGCAATGGTGGCTCGCTCGCTCGCTCGCTCCCGGAACCCGCCTGCCGGAGGACGGCCTACCCACCAGGTCCTATAGGTCGGCCCGGACATCTGTCCGCAATGGTGGCTCGCTCGTTCGCTCGCTCGCTCCCGGAACCCGCCTGTACAGTCGGGGCGCTGAAGAGGAACCCTGTTCATTGGGGAGGGGCTCCGTGTTCCTCAATTGTTTCGCAGCTTGCCTTGGGTTTTCCTTAGGTTTTCGATATGGCATCGGAGTTTAACTGATGGCAGATAGGGGCCTCGTTCCTTGTTTAGGGTTCCTTAGGTCAACGCCCCGCCTGTAGGAGGACGGGCCCGACCGAACGCCGGCCAGGCTCGCGCGCCCGGCCGGGCTCCGCGGGCTCCGGCGCCGCTCGGCGGGGGCGCGGCGGGACCCGTCCTGCCCGGCGGGCCCGGCGGCGTCCGGCGGCCGCTCTGCGGGTGGCACGTCGGTCTCCTCGGCCCGCCGGCGGCCTCTTCGGATGGGCCTGCTTTCCACCACCACCACAAGTCGGAGGGGGAGGGGGTCCCTCCTCCTCCTCCTCCTCCTCCTCCTCCTCCTCAGCTGCCTCCTCCTCCTCCTCCTCCTCCTCCTCCTCAGCTGCCTCCTCCTCCTCCTCCTCCTCCTCCTCCTCCTTCCCCCCGCCAACTTCTGGTGGTGGTGGTGGTGGTGGACAGCAGGCCCATCATCTTCGGCGTGCGCCGCCGGGAGCCTGGAGACGGGGGTCACTGCAAACAGGGGTCAGCCAGAGCGCCCGATCTTGCAAGATCCTGCAGGGCCAGGGTCGCATTGGCCCGGGTCTGGGTGCAGCATCCTGCAGGCTCTTGCGGGACCTTTCGCATTGACTTATGATGCTCCAACCTACTTTAGCCTTGATCACCAGGAATAATTTCGAGCGCCCGAACAATACCGAACCTCCTGGGTTTTCACGTGTCGGGACCTGGGAGACACTCGCCCGACACTGTTTCGAAAATGTTTCGACACTCTTTTAACATTTTTTCGGGTGCTCGAAACTATTTCTGGGATGTGGTCCTTCAGTCGGATGGGAACAACATAAGCATTGACCCGAGTTTGGTTGCAGGATCCTGCAAGGCCGGACTGACCTGGGTCTGGATTGACCCGGGTCAGCAGATCCCCGACGCCGCGCGGTGTGCGCGCTGCTAGTGGTGGGCCCTCAGCGCACCCGAGGCGGCTTTCCGATCACAGGGGCGCCTCTCGCCCTCCCTCCTGCGCCTCCTCGGCGAGAAGGATCGGGGCGAGAGGGTGTCATCGGCGTCCTCGGCATGCCCACGCGGCGCTCGGAGCACGGCCGGTGAAGCCGACGTGCAGGAGCGGGGGCGAGACGGTCAGCGCACACAGCGAACGCGGCCGTCGCTGGCAGCGCTGGCCTGCGCGAGGCCTCCGCTCACGCTGTCCTGACTGCGCGGTCCTCGGGGCCGCCTACGGCCGCGGCGTGCCGCCCACGACCCGCCCGAGTCCGCAAACGGCGGGGCAGGGGCAGCATCTGCCCCGCGTCGAGCGGCTCCGGCGGGTCTCACCGAGCGCCCGCTTCCTGCAGTCGGCCACCAACCTCTTCAGATCTGTGAGCCTGGCAGTGCCAGCCTTTCGTCGGGCGTGTCCCCCACAGAGGGTTTTTCGACGAAAAATGAAAAATATAAGAAATATTCCAGAATTGCAAAAAAAATCGTAAAAAAGATAGTCTGCGGACTTTTTTCAAAGTACTTTCACATTTCTTGAGCATTTTTAGGATTTTTTATTCATTTTTCGTGGAAGCTCCCCCTGTCGGGGGAGAGGACCGACTTGAGCCTGGCAGTGCCAGCCCACGGGTTCTGCCATCGATGCAGCACGGCCGCCCGGTCGCCCCTCGGTTGCCGCGTGCTCCGCGTCGGGCCGTGCGTCCCGCGTGTGGCCTCTGCAGGGCGCCCTCGCCGCGTCTTCTCCGAACGCGGAGCAGCTGCAGGAACGTACGCTGCTGGAGCTCCTCGCGGACCCTTGTCTCAAGTCGGGCCTGTCCCTCTACAGGAGGAATGTTCAAAAATAGTCAAAGATAGTCTGGGGAGTATGTTTTGACTATGATTGGGCATCTCTTGATTATTTGTTTTGGGGTATTTCTCATTTTCGTCCAAAATCCCCCTGTAGGGGGACACGCCCGACTCACACATACACTTCTGGAGCTCGCGGGCCCCTGTTTTGATCCCGCTGGAAGCCCGGGATCCGCAGCGTCGCATCGCGCTTCCCTTCGCGCAGTGCCGCTGCCGATGAGCCTGCCCCCACGGCCTCGCACCGCTCGGCGGTCCAGTCTGGCGCTGCCTGCAGGGCCGCGCGGCACCTCCTGCGCACGTCGCGGCTCATCGGATGGTGATGATGAGAATGATGATGACGATGGTGTTGGTGGTGATGAAGATCACCATGGCTGTGATGGTGATGGCCATGATGAAGATGATGAAGATGATGAGGAGGAGGAGGAAAAGGAGGAGGAGGAGGAAGAGGATGCGGAGGAGGCGGAGGAGGAGGAACAGGAGGAGGAGCACGAGGAGAAGGAGAAGAAGCAGGAGGAGGAGGCGGAGGAGGAGGAGGAGGGGTAGAGGCAGGTGCAGCGGGAACTCGGGAGAAGGGGCCTGCGAGTATGAGGGGGGAGGGAGCACGATCACAGGCAGGATTCGGAGAGAGCGGACGAGCACGGGGGACGAGGAGCAGGCTCGCCCGTCGCGCGCCGCCTCGGAGGAGGCCGGGGAGCGCCACATCGCGATCTGCGCCAAGACCTTCGGCGAGGGGAGGGGCAGGCGTCTGAGCTGGAGCAGTGGCGGGTGCACAGATGGGCTAGATGCTCGTCTGCGGGACCTCCCTCATGGGGCCCACCCAACGGATCTGTTCGACTCGAGTTCGATCCCAGGTCGACTCAAGTTCGATTCAACTTCGATTCAAGTTCGACTCAGGTTCGACTCAGGGTCGACTGAAATCGACGGCCGTTCGACGCAGCTTCGACGCACGAGTGGAGCGAGTGTCTCCAGGAAGGTCCAGAATGAGCATCCAAGATGGGGGGCGGCAGGAGGAGGTGCAAGAGATTATTTTCATTTGTGTTGTGCATTTTTGCAGTAGTTTGCGGTCTGGACGCAATCGTTGCGCGTGGATGCAATCATGTGTGCTTTCAAAATGTGCCCCTTTCAAGAGTTCGTGCCCCCCAGCAGACATCAATAGTTCGCGTAATTGTTCGCGCAAGCGAACTATTGCTCCTCCCACCGCCCCCCCCATTGGCGTTGCCCCAATCGCTCCAGTCCAAAGGTTGATCGGTCGCGTGAATATGGAGGAGGAGCAGGAGGAGGATGGATGTGTTCCTCTTTCCCCCGCTCCCGCGCCCCCCCCCTCCTCCCCACGCGGGTCACCAGGCCGCCACGGACAACGGACACGGCGATGACGACGACGGACAAGGACGCACGACCGTGCGCGGCCGACGACGGACGACCGCCGACGACGACGGGCGACGCTCACGGCGACGACGCTGACGAACGACAAGGGACAACGGCGGACGACGGACACGGCGCCGACGACGACCAACAATAGCGACGACCTTTTGAACGGCGGCCGACGGCCCGAGCCGGCGACCGACGACGAGCGGCGGCCGACGACCGACCGACGGCGTGCCCTCGGCGGCGGGAGGCTCCAAGCCGGGCGGCGGCCGCCTGGTCCGCGGCGGCGGGGGCAAGGCCCGCGGCGGCTCTGGCCGCTGCCCTCGCCGCCGCGGGCCATCTTCGTCGTTGCGCTCGTCGTCGTCGTCGTCGTCGTGTTCGTCGTCGTCTTCGTCGTTGTCTCCGTCGTCGGCTTCGCTGTCGTCGTTTCAGTCGTCGTCGTCGTCGTCGTCGACTTCCTCGTCCTTGTCTTCCTCGTCGTCGTCGTGTTTGTCGTTGTCTCTCTGTTCTCGTCATCGTCGTCGTCGGTATCTGGCAGAGCCCACGCGGAGCTTCTGAGAAGGAGGCCTCGTAATTCTGAGAAGGCAAGGGGGCTTCTTCGATGCCCGCCGGGCTTCAACGTGGCTTTCTGTGAAGCCTCCGGGACCCTCTAAGAAGGCCCCTGCCTTTAGGAAGACCCTCCTCCCTCTTAGATGGCCACCCCATTGTGGGCGCCGCCAAGAGTCATTGTCGTCCTCGGCGTCATCTTCGTCATCTTCGTCGTCGTCGTCGTCGTCATCTTCGTCGTCGTCGTCGTTGTCGTCCTCGCCGTCGTCGGCCTTTCGTCGCCGTCGTCGCCGTCGACGCCGTCGAGGGCCGAGGCTGGAGGCGCTTTGACGTCATCTGAGCCTTCCTGGGCCTCCTGTGAGAACGCGCAGTTTTGTAAAACCAGTTGCAAAATATAGAGTGCAGATGTTGCCCAACTGCCAGGAACTACCCGACAGCCCAGAGGAATCTGGAGGCCTTGGTCGTTGTGAGCGTTTGGGGCAAACACGACTTGGACGTCCTCTGGGCCTCCCTTGGTCGGGCCGAACGAAAGGGGCGGATAGGGAAAGGGGGGGTCACGAGAAATCTGCTGCTTGCAGCTGACTTTGACCCCGCCGCCGGGCCCATCCCTCGATACACGGGCGCCTCCCGGCGCCGGGAGGCGCTTTGACCCCGCCGCCGGGCCCATCCCTCGATACACGGGCGCCTCCCGACGCCGGGAGGCGCTGGGAAATCAGCTGCGTGAGCTGATTCCCTACCCTAGCTTTTGCTATCCCCCCCTTTCGTTCCCCCCGAGAATGGAGGAGGAGGAGGAGGAGGAGGAGGAGGAGGAGGAGGAAGAAGAAGAAGAAACAAATGATTAAGAATAATAAGAGGAGGAGGAGGCGGAGGAGGAGGAGGAGGAGGAGCACCCCATCGGCGGAGGCCAGTGCCGATGTTGCGGCGGTGGCGGAGGTGCGGCGCGGGACCGAGGGCGGTAGGCACCGCGGCGGCGGAGGGCGGCGACGGCGCCGCCGAGGGGCGGCGAGCGACGACGGCCGTGACGTCATCCACGTCGTCGTCGTCGTCGTCGTCGTCGTCTTTGTCGTCGTCGTCGTCGTCGTCGTCGTCGTCGTCTTTGTCGTCGTCGTCGTCGTCGTCGTCGTCTTTGTCGTCGTCGTTGTCGTCGTCGTCGTCGCCGTAGTCGCTTTCGTCGTCCTCCTCGGCGGCGGCGGCGACGGCCACCACGGCAGCGCCGTCGGCCACGGCGACGGACGCCGGCCGTCGTCGGCCGACCGGCGGCGCCGCGGCGGCCCCCCGACGAGGCCGGCGGCCCGCCGCCGGCGCCCGTCCACGAGGCTCCCGCGGACGGCGACCGACGGTGGCGGGATCGACGACTGCGACGACAACGACGACGACGACGGCGGCGGCAATGACCAACGGCGGCGACGACGGCGACGACGGCGACGACGGCGACGACGGCGACGACGGCGACGGCGGCGGCGACGACGACGACGGCGACGACGACGGCAACGACGGCGGCGATGACGACGACGACGACGGAGACGACGGCGGCGACGACGCGCGGCCGCGGGGTCAGTCAGAGTTTTGGATCTTGCAGGATCCTGCAGGGCCAGGGCTGCATTGACCCGGGTGAGATCCTGCAAGGTCTGATTGACCCGGGTCTGGATTGACCCGGATGAGAGATCCTGCAGGGTGGGGGTCGTGCGGGACTTCGTTTGTTGCGGCGGCGAGCCCAGGTGTCAAGCAGTGGCGAAACGTTTTGGCTCGCCTACGTGACCACCAGAGAATGTTCCAAGAACTTTTGGTCCATTAGTGGTCTGCACGAGATGTTCTTAGGAGCATTTCTGTCCGACAGTATCCTGTTGTAACACATCTGGTTTATGCTCTAAGAACATTGTTCTTGTTCTCAGAGCACTTCTGGGTTCTTTGATAATGTCGTGGAAGGCTTATAATTTCGTGGTTCAGACCAGTGATTTGGGTGAGTTCCTGCGGGGCCATGGGCGGAAGTAGAGCCGCCGCCTTCAGGACACAGAGTGCCAGAGGATAAGGAGGAGGAGGAGGACATAGAAGAGGAGATGTCGAGGAAAAGGGCGAGGAGGAAACATACCAGGAGGACGAGTAGGAGGAGGAGAGCGGAGAACGAGGAGGGCAAGGAGGGGGAGGATGCGGAGGAGAGCGGGGAGGAGGAGGAGGAGGAGGAGTGAGAAGGAGACGGAGGAGGAGGAGGAGGAGACGGAGAGGAGGAGGATGAGGTGGAGGAGGAGGACCAGATTAATTACAGCAACGATGTACACACGATGCTGCGTTACACCCTCCCATTCCAAGTCCCCTTTTCACTCGTCCCTACGCGTCCTCCTTTTCACTACAAGAAGCGTCGCCTTGAACTGCCAGCACAGCTAGGCCTGCCATTTAGGCGGCGCCCCCGCTTTGAAAAGGAACTGGCTTGCATCGTCCTGGCGCGTTAGCAGGGGCGCCAAGGACATCAGTCATGTAGTTCAGCGCGGTGTCCGGCGCGACCCTCTTTACGAGGAAGGACCGCCCCCGTCCGTGTCACTGCTGCACGGGCTTGCTCCTGTGGTCATGCACTCCGAGGAAGCCTCAATCAAGCAGTGACGAAGCTTCCTGGCTCGCCTATAGTCCTACCAAACAATGTTCTAAGAGCTGTTCACGAAATGTTCTTAGAACATTTCTGGCTCGGAGTGTCTTGTTTTATTACATCGGGTTTATGCTATAATAACCTTGTTATTGTTCTTAGAACATTTTTGGGTTCGAAGAACATTTCGTGGGAGGACTGTAGGAATGCCCGGACGGTCGGTCCCTGCTCAACTCAAGGGACAGCTCGTTTTTGAAACAGCAGCCGCAACGTATCCCTTTCAGCCCTACGTGCGTTGATGTTTCGGCTCTCTTTTTTTATGAACGGCGTCTCGGGCGAGAACACCAGGAGGCGCTGTGCGCTGAACCTCCTGTGGGCCGACAGGGTGAGCCCTGCGCATCGCGCGTGCTGCGCGGCGTCCTGGCGGCTCTCTGGCCGGTGGGGGTTCCCAGGAGGCTTACTGTCAGGAGAGGAAAAAACTCACAGACACAATTAATCGTCGATTCCGAGGAAAATATGGGAAAATATGGGAAGTGGGGGGGAAGACAAAAACTCTGAAAATATGGGGAAATATGGGGAATATTTTTATTTGTGTGTATTTATTTGTGTGTCCTGGGGCCCCTTCATACTGACCACGGACTTGTAACCCAGGGTAGGGGCGTTTCTGCATTCCTGCAGTTGTGGCAAGGCGTAGCCTGCCCATGGAATCTGCCACCGTGCCGAACGCCGCGCGCAGCAACGAACAGCGCCCGGCGCTGCTGCGAGGGCCCACTCTTGGCAAAGGAGCAGTGCTCCCTGCGAGCTTTTGAAACTCCTGATGCCGAGCAGTGCTCACTGCGAGTCCTCCTCCTCCTCCTCCTCCTCCCCCTCCTCCTCCTCCTCCTCCTCCTCCCCATCCTCCTCCTCCTCCTCCTCCTCCTCCTCCTCCTCCTCCTCCTCCTCCTCCTCCTCCTCCTCCTCCATGGGCGGAAGAGGTCTCTGGGCACGGATGTCCGCGACGCCGCAGCGGGCCCCCCCGCCGCCTCGGCGGGGCACGCCGCCCTCCGTCCGTGGACCCGACGGGGGGCGAGCTTTTGGGGGACGAGTGCGCTCGGCGCCCGGGCGGGCACGCCGCTGCGGGGCCTCGTTTCGATTCCTCCGATGCGATTCGCTTCGATTCCGATGGATTCCGATTCCGACCCGATTCGGCTTCGGGTTCCGATCTGGGCTCCGATGCCTTGCTGGAGCCCTGCGAGCCCGCCGCTTTTCGCCGATTCGGCTTTTCCCGACTCGGCTGCCGATTTCCGCCGGCTCGGTTCTTTTCGATCGCCGATCCGACTCATCCACTCAATCCTGGGCTCTCCTGCCGCTGCTGCAGCGGCCCCGCGTCCTCCGGGCCTTTGAGGGTCTGCTGCGAGCTCGTGGGGCTGATGTTCCGTCGGGCCTGTCCCTCTACAGGGGGAAGGTTCACGAAGAGCCCCAAAAAATAGTCCGGGGACTCTGTTTTGGTCATTTTTGAAGTATTTTGGGGGTATTGTCGAGTTTGTCACCCAAGCTCCCCCTGTACGGGGACGCGCCCGACTTGAGGCTGATGTTCGCGCTGTGAAGGCGACGGCCACAGTGTTGAGAGCGTCCCCCCCGCCATCCGTGAGACTGGTGCCGAGATGTCCCACGTGAGCGCACGCGGCGCTGCGGCGAGAGCCAGATCATGACAAGGATCCCTCAGGAGGAGAAGAGACACACAGCCACAATGAATCGCCGATTCCCCAGAAGATATGGGAAACTGTGGGCAGTGTGGGGGGGAGACAGAAACCCAGAAAATATGCGAGAATCTGAGGACTCCTTTTCGTCGTGTGTATTTGTTTGTGTGTCCCAGGGCTCCTACCAATCCTGGAGCCTCCACCCGTGAAGCGGTGGCACATTCTGTGGAGACGCACGTGCGCGGCGTTGAGAGGTGGGAGCCACACTCGGGCCGAGCGAGAGGGGGGGATTTGGAACGGGGGGGGGTACGAAATCTGTCCTCCTCCTCCTCCTCCTCCTCCTCCTCCTCCTCCTCCATCCTCCCCTCCTCCTCCTCCTCCCCCTCCTCCTCCTCCTCCTCCTCCTCCTCCTCCTCCTCCTCCTCCTCCTCCTCCTCCTCCTCCTCCTCCCCCTCCTCCCCCTCCCCCTCCGTCGCTACGAAATCTGCTGCATGCACTGGTTTCGGC